ACATTAAATGGTAACAGCACCTGCCTCGTAGAGTTGTGAGAATCAGACAGTGAATAGAAAGCTTTGAGCACAGTGCCTGGTACATAGTGGGTACTTTGTAAATTGGAGCTGCCGTTGTTAATGTCTTAGCGTGTTCTAAGGGAGCAGCACTGGAGAAATCATAAGTTGTTTCATGAACACACTTTGTTCATTTTATTAACAACTTCACATCTTAAATTTTGAAATGCTTGGCCACTGTACCATCTGTTACTGTCCTCTATTCTTAGGTAAGGCAGTGGTTTAATACTTGGTGAAACATTTGGTCAGAAGCTACAAGTTAAGAAATTCCTGCAAAAATTAAAAAATGATGCCAGGTTATTAAGCAGAATTCTAGAAGTCAGCAAGATGGGGCTGTATACTGCCTTTCTTCACATATTATCTGGGAACAAACTTGAAAAGGGTATTTCTTCGAACCCGTTGAGATTTATATGAGTTTATAATAATTCTCAGATTAGCAATTTTGTTTTATTTTTAACTAGACCTTGGGGATCAAACACTGTGTGCAGATAAATACATAGAGGGTAAGTGATCTAAGGTCACTTGACCTTCAGTTGGCCAGTGAAAGAGTAGAACCCATGATTCTAATCCATGGCTCCTGAATGGGTCACTCTGACCACGCTTTACAGGTTAACATAACAAACACAGTGTTACAAATCTTTCCCTTGCCAGGTTGAGTATGGATTTATTCCCGTTTTTGGTAAAGGAAAACTTTTTATTTCGCTTATTTATGTATCTCTTGGGATCATATATTGATAATAAAAAAAATTTCCTCAAAAATTTATTAGTTAAGAACATTTAGCTATAGTAGAAGATTGTCTGAGTTTAAAAACAAAGTTGAAGTAATGATTTGCTAACTAACCAATACTTTTTTATTTAGGCTGCAGTACTTTGCACGGGGACTGCAGGTTTATATCCGACAACTTCGCTTGGCTCTGCAGGGTAAAACAGGCGAGGCCTTAAAAACAGAAGAGGTAAGAATACTGGGTCACATCTTGTAAGGAAATTTTTTATAATAGCCAGCATGTAGTACAAATTCAGGCTCAATTCATATGTTGAAATGTAACATTTGACTTCATTTGAACTGGTAATACAAGTCTTTGTTGAAGATACAATATGATGTTAGAAGACATCATATTGTCTAAGTGCCTAGTGATTTGCTAAGTTATGTTTTTATCCTTGTTGAAATATTTCGAATATTTCCAGGTTTATGAACAGTCTTCCCAAATTTAGATACATACCAGTCTTTCACTAGGGTCTCATTAGCACATTTTGTTCAAATATTTGATTGATGTTTGTGATATTTTAATTTTTACCTTTTGGAAAACCCAGCATCAATTTACATTGAAAAAAAGATTAAATTGCCAATTCTAAACCAAACTGTATGTGTGTTGTGTTGGGATTTTTGGATTTCTCTGATCTCACCTATTTTGATCAATCTTCATCCCAATTCTAATGAAATATTTTAAGTTTTCATTATGTCTTCCTGTAACTTAAGCTGGTGACTTCTAAAACAACTCCTGTGTACATATGACCTGTCTCTCACTCATTTTTCCAGATAAATGGTAAATAACAGTTTAATATTCTAACCTGTCAAGGGAACATAAAGATTATTTGCTTTCTTTGCCATCTCTACACTGGTTTAGAGTCAAGAAGTGGGAGTAAGCAGAAATGATTCTGAAAGAGAAGTGTAATTACTCCAGTTCTATATGGGAATGAGATATGCATCACAAAAGTTTATTGGCACTTTAATTTTGTTTTCCTTTTGCAGAACAAGATTAAGGTTGTTGCACTGAAAATAACAAATAATATTAATGTTTTAATCAAGGTAAGTGTTCCTTTCTTACCCAGTCCTTCCAGCTAGCTAGAAAGTTAGTGCAAGAGGTTTAGGTTTATCCATGTGTTTTTAGGTCTGTGATGATACTGTTAAAGGGGAGATACCATTGTATTCCAGACTTTTGGCCTTTTAAGGCTTTATCCTTTTTACAATACCAAGTTCCATTTCTGTAGCTATCATAAAATCATACTCTGTATTATTTATTTAAACGTTATTGCAGAAAATACTGCAAACAAAGGCATGCAGATTTTCTCTGACCCAAAAGCATTGGAACAAATACGTGTAGACTCAGAAATTTCACTGACTTAAGTTCGGGTGGTCTGTTGGGTCCTTTCAAATGGCCAGAAAAGCCTGCTTTGCTTACATTAAAGATGGACAAGCCTGTGTGGCCCATGAAATGTTTCCCTGTGGTCTTTTCTGTTAACTTGTCTATGTAATAAATTGAGCGCTTTCTGTACTGTCGACTAAGATGTACCTTACCATTAAACCATAAATACCCTTCAGTTCTCTTTATCCTCCCCAAGTATCCATTAATCTAAACAAACTGAGGGGGAGAAAAAAAGAATCACAACAAAGTAACCATCATCTCTTCCTCTAAGTTAACAGTATTGTAGCCAGATGGAAAAAGCACTGATGTTTGTAACACCTAGAGCACAAAGCCTGACAGTAACAAAATTAGGACTAGTGGTATACCCTAATACTAATCTGGTAAAAATCCCATGGAATAATTACTTTTTATCAGAAGAGAGGGAAACTTTTCAGAGAAAGCAACAGTGAGACATTAAAGAAGGAGTATCATGGAAAGAGAAGAGGTACAAATACTCCCATCTCCTAAGAAAATTTTTATAATTTTACTTTTTTTTTTTTTTTAATTTAAATTCAAGTTAGTTAATGTAAGTGTAGTATTGGTTTCAGGAGTAGAATTAGTGACTCATCACTTACGTATAACACCCAGTGCTCATCCCAACAAGTGCCTTCTTTAATACCCATCACCCATTTAGCCCATCCCCCCACCCACCTCCCCTCCAGCAACCCTCTGTTGTCTTAACTATAAAGTCTTTTATGGTTTGCTGCCCTGTTTTTATCTTATTTTTCTTTGCCTTCCCCTTGTTCATCTGTTCTGTTTTTTAAATTCCACATATGAAATCATGCTATTTCTTTCTCTGACTGACCTATTTCACTTAGCAAATACACTTCTGTTCCATCCACATTGTTGCAGATGGGAAGATTTCATTCTTTTTGATGGCTGAGTAATATTCCTATACACACACACACCCCACATCTTCTTTATCCATTCATCAGTCGATGGACATTTGGGCTCTTTGCATAATTTTAGCTACCACTCATTTCAAAACCTTAAAAATAATAATTTCAAACAGTGAATTCATAATCAAAATGTGAGCTATTTTTGAGAAATAATTTACACAGTCACTCTATCAGTTTAAAGTATAGAATATGATTAACATACATATATATACCACAAATAGATATAGCCAACATCCATTTTCTCATATAAAGTAAAATCCCTTTAATAACATCATATGTTAAATCAGTCCAGTTAGAAACCTCAAGCATTTTTGATCCAAAGGACTTTACCACTAATTCCCTGCATTTATCTGGCAGAGTAGACTTAAGTTTCATATAGTAGGTGATTTTATTAGTATGTTTAACTGTGGAAAGAACACAGTTTATTTATTTATTTATTTTAGATTTTTTAATTTGCGACAGAATGAGAGAGAGCGCACATGAGAGGGGGGAGGGTCAGAGGGAGAAGCAGACTCCCTGCTGAGCAGGGAGCCCGATGCGGGACTCGATCCCGGGACTCCAGGATCATGACCTGAGCCGAAGGCAGTCGCTTAACCAACTGAGCCACCCAGGCGCCCCTGGAAAGAACAGTTTAATCAAATTTTACCTATATATAAAAATCAGAGTGGGCTACCTTAGTGGCTCAGTCGGTTGGGTGTCCAACTCTTGGTTTCAGCTCAGGTCATGATCTCACAGTCACGGGATTGAGCCCCGTTTTCGGCTCTGCGCTCAGCGTGGAGTCTGCTTCAGGTACTCTCATCCCATCCCTCCCACTCACTCACTCTCTCAAATAGATACATAAAATCTTCTAAAAAACCAAAGTTAAAGCTGATAAGAAAGGTAAAATACTAAGAATAAATATATTTAGAAATGCATCCAAGTTTTGAGGATATCATGAGGTTAGATTATTTCAGTTCTGGATTACTTTAACTTTTAAATTCAGCAAACATTTGCATTACCACATACTAATAATTTGGTATTTAAATCTTGTGTGTTTTTCCCTTATTGGTAATTTATAGATATTTGAGAAGAAGAAAAATATGATTAGCCAGGCCTTTAGTTTTCTAATTTTGTTCTAATTTTGAACCACTTAAAAGTCTGCAAAAGCAATGTAGTTTGTACCATTCTTTTTCCCTTAAAGCACCTTGGTGACTGCAGCTGTGCAAAAGAAATACTTAAGACATCATTTAATACAGTTGATATATTTTATCCTGGAATTCTAAATGATCATCATTTAGAAAAAATTTAGCTAGGGACGCCTGGGTGGCTCAGTCGGTTAAGCATCTGCCTTTGGCTCAGGTCATGATCCCAGGGTCCTGGGATTGAGCCCCATGTCAGGCTTCCTGCTCAGCGAGCAGGGGTCTGCTTCTGCCTCTCCCTCTGCCCCCAACCTCGTGCTGAAGCTCGCTCGCTCTCTCTCTCAAATAAATAGGAAAAAAACTTAGCTACAGTTTCTGAAGTGATGTATACAAAATGACATTAGTGAAGTTTAATAGGTATAATTTGTAAACAAAATCATCTGTTTATTTTTTCTCTTGCAACTGTTTTTTTTTTTTTTTTAAAGATTTTATTTATTTATTTGAGAGAGAGAGAAAGCACATGAGAGGGGGGAGGGTCAGAGGGAGAAGCAGGCTCCCTGCCGAGCAGGGAGCCCGATGTGGGACTCGATCCCGGGACTCCAGGATCATGACCTGAGCCGAAGGCAGTCGCTTAACCAACTGAGCCACCCAGGTGCCCTTGCAACTGTCTTTTTTAGGTGAACAAGAAGAATAGATCAGAGCTTACTCTCTCCTAAACTTTAAGATGTCTCCATGTTTCTTACCCTCATCACCATTCTCTATACCACCAGATATATTAGAAATTTTGTCTTCATTTTGTCTTTTTAGGATCTTTTCCACATTCCTCCTTCTTATAAAAGCACAGTAACATTATCCTGGAAACCTGTACAGAAGGTTGAAATTGGGTAAGATATATTTAAAAGAGATTTAAGGGTTCTGATATTTAAGATTTATAAATACAAAAATCAGAATTCAGATGTTATATTCACTATACAAAATGGTACCTTACCAGTTAAATAATCTTAATAAGATGTTAAAATATGTAAATAAAATAAGCATGGCTTAAAATATAAAGTCTAATTGCAGTGTTTATCAAATAAACGGGTGGAATACAACCCTGGAATTTTCAGGCTTGTCTGTACTTCTGCAGCATAACTAGACTTTTGACGAATTTTACAACTTAGTCACTTGCCCTTACATAAAATTTTGTAGCCACATATTCCAGATTATTTTCAAGCCTTGTAAATGCCCTCTGGCACTGTCTGCATAACTAAGGCACAGTTAATTTGATGACCTCAGAACGTTATTTCCTCTTTTCTGATATGACTATCATCTTTAGGATGTCCTTTGTAAGTGATAATGCTAAATTACAAGTGTTTTAATGTCCTCCGGTAATAGAATTTTTTATTGCCATTCTTCTTACCATTATAGGCAAAAAAGAGCCAATGAAGATACAACTTCCGGTTCACCACCCAAGAAATCTCCAGCAGGACCAAAAAGGGATGCCAGGCAGATATATAATCCTCCTAGTGGGAAATATAGCAGCAATTTGAGCAACTTTAATTATGGTGAGCGTTTCCGTTTGGGTACAAGCAATATGAGAAATTAGGCAGAAATTGTGTTGTACTTTAATTATTATATATATTACATACACAATACTTTTTTCCACTGACTTCTGATGTAGCTTGGGAAACTAGAGCTATTGGGGAAACAAGTTACCCCATTCCTTTCTGACCCTCCCTTGTGGGCTCACTGAATTGAGCATGCAATACTTAGAAAAGAACTTAGAAAAGAAAAATATGCCTCTTGTATTCAGAGGAAGTAACAAAACAAAGGAAGTTGGCATGAACCATCCATTCTTGGTTTTCCCTGTTGTAACTTCAAGGAAAGACATTGTGTGCATTCTCCCTCAGGAATAGTTATAGGTTTTAGCAGATGTGATGATATTAATGATCTTAGACCTTATCTGCCTCCTGCTTGTCTTCCATCTTCTTAACTATTTGAAAAGGAGAAGTCCTAGAAGTGGAGTCAGATGTTAAAAGTATCATCTGGCAAGGAAGGTGTGTACATTGCAGTCTCTCTCCACTGCCCAGAGTGCAGTCTCCCTCCTAGCATTAGCCATTGGTGCCAGGAGAGCTTCCCACTAGTCCATTCTCTCCCAGTGCTGGTGAAGAAGCAAAGTTTGTTTCATTTGACTGAGAATGTGATGGATCCTTTCAAAGAAGAATGGGTGAAATATCACTGAGTCAGCTCCTTAACCTTGCTTAAGAAGACAAAGCTTAATAATACAACCAAATATGCTTATGACTGGTCTAATTTACCAGTCAGAGTTAATGCTGCAGTAATTATTCTTAAAACACATTCTGAAACATACACTGTCTGTAATCATTTGCAAGGTGAGATAATCGTGACATTAAAATCTTCCTACAATAACTAAATAAAAAGCAAACATCATGGAAAGGCAGTTTTTAGATTGTGAAATGACCCTTCTACTCCAGTCAGACTTGGAGGCAAATTAGTGTAGGAAGGATCATTGAACTTTTGTACTTATTATGTAAATGTGCATTTCTTAGCCTCTTTTCTTACTTGAAAAATAGGGATAACACAGAGCTCTTAAAAACGTCAAATAAGAGGGGAAAAAAACGGTATTTGTGAAAACATTTTGTAAATGGAAAGGGTTCTGCTATTTCATTGCAAAAAAGATTGTCTTCAGTCACTTGTATGATTTAATGTGTCTATGAGAATTATTCTTAAAATCCAACTATTATCTCAGATCCTATATTTGACTTAAAGTAATTGAGAGCAGTGGCAATACATAGAGAATTATATTCCTTGTCACTTGGGCAAGTGAGTTACTCTTGAGTTTCCATGAGGATTCTGCCCTAAGAAACTCATTGGCTGCCTGATGGTGAGAATCAGATGACATAATGCATGTGGAAAAGAGATGTGAAAAATACAAAGCCTTGGATTGTGATTGTTTTTCACTGTCAGTAGAAAAAAATCTGAGTCCCTTATAACTACAGTTGTTCATAGTCCTCAAAGTAGCAAGGGCAGAACAGGCTTGCCTGTTAAATTGTTTTTTGTGTCTGATATTACAGCACTTTAATATTCCTAAAGGGGTCAGCCTTGTCATTTGGGTGCTGGTCATAAACAGAATTACAAAGCAAACTAAACTCTGACTCTTTTTATTGGAATGGAAAGTAGCAGCAAAATTTCTGCTAGCATTTTACATTTCAGAGTTGAATGTTAACAGGTTATAGGTATTCTCACAGTAGGAATTTCAAGAGTTTTCTTCGCTTTCTTTTACCTATCCAATTGAAAACAGTTCTTGATACTACAGATGAGATTTGGAAGGCCTACCTACGTCAGGTTTCTTTCCACCTTTTTTATGTCCTTTTCTTAGGGAACTGACATTGTGTGCAGAAGAAAGAAGCACGTTGCTTTTTTTTTCTGGGATGTCAGTGTTGCCTCAAAGTTGGAGAGGAGAACATGTTTTGTGTTCTTAATGTCACTTAGTACATAGATTTTCTTAACCACATTTGGTAAAATCATTGTAATTCCACTTTTCTGTGTCTGTCAAGCTCACGTTTTGTTTTATCTTTCTAAAGACTGGTTGGATGGTCTTTTTAATTTTAAAGTCATGTATGCTGAGGGGTTAGGAAATTTACTCTTTTTGGTTATTAGAGACTCAGTATTGATATACTGTCTTATTACAGTCAAATAAATAGACTGTGCCACTGTCATAGGCCTGAACTTATTCATCATAGAAGAGGAACCAGAATTTGTGATTGTTCTTTGAATCCAGGCAGGCTTATGTAGACTTTTTTTCCTTATCCAAGTTTATCACTTTACTAACCAAGGTCTCTTATTTGCTTTATAAATATGAACTCAGTTCAACTTCCTGGTGCATTTTCAATCAAAGTATTTACAAACACCTACTCATGTTTAGTTTTCCCTCCTGCATACAGAGTTGCCCAGTAACCCAGAGGTACTAAACATGCTATATGTTGTGACTTGTGTCCTTCATCTCTTACCTTTCTAGAATGTAAAAATAACTGAAAGTATAATTTTAACTGGGAGCAGTGGTTTTTCAAGTTAGTAATGTAAGCTTGAAACCACTGAAAAGATCCTGAAAGTGCAGAATGGTCCCTCAGGATGGAGCCCTTCAAAAAAAGAAAATTTGGAGACTCCCTGAACTACAGAAATGGCTGCATCCATTGCAGATCAAAAAGAAATAGCCAGTAGGGGCACCTGGGTGGTTTAGTCAGTTAAGCGTCTGCCTTCGGCCCAGGTCATGATCCCAGGGTCAGGCTCCCTGCTCAGCGGGGGAACCTGCTTCTCCCTCTGCCTCTACCCTTCCCCCCGCTTGTGCTCTCTCTCTCTGTCTCTCTCTCAAATGAATAAATAAAATCTTAAAAAAAAAAAAAAAAGAAAAACAATTGAAAGGGTGTATTTTAGTAGTCAGCTAGCTTGTAGATAATAATGATATCTATGAAGATGTTAATTTGTTAAAAAAAAATGTTAATTTGTTAAGTGTGTTGTTAAATTAACCGAAAAATGAAGGTTTTATAATGAGTACAGTAGGGGGAAAATGTGCTGACATCTGCATAGATGAGGCCAAGTCTTAAACAGTCAAAAATGCAAGAGTTAGAGCGTACATAAGGGTTGCTACACTCCCTGCTGCAGTTACTGCATCAGTTACTGGGAACATCTTACCCTCAGACCACCTCTGATTTTCTGAATATGTTCAAGGGGTAATAAACATGGTGGTGTCACTTAAACGGCTTTCAAATAGATCAGCTTAGAAAAATGTGCCATGACATGAAAGATGACTCTGAATCCGATCCCATTCTATTAAACAGATAAATATTGGCTAAGGTGGGGAAAGGTCGAGTTAGTTTTCTAACTCATGGTTGCTGGAGGGAAAAAAAAAAAACATCAAAACATTACCCAAATTATATTTCCAGCCATAATGGCAAAAAAATGATTGCAATATGGACTTAATAGGAATTTTTCAAGCATTCAGCATTATGGATCCAAAACGGCAACGCCAGGTGGTTTTTATTGCTCCTAACAAGATTGCTGCAATGAGGAAGTTTGAAAGTTCAATGAAGAGATTTGATCTCTGGAATTAGAAGTTTGAGACTCTTATTTATGTATGATGAAAAGTCCAACCTGGCGGATAACTTCAATCAGTTTTCTTCACTGGAAAGACTCTTTAAAGGAATATTTCTCTGGAGCTATAAAAGAGAGTAACCAGTGAATGAATCAAAAACTCATTCAACTGTATGACACAAGTGACTTGATTTTTCAGCAAAAGATATTCTTAATTTACATCAGTGTGCTAAACACTGTGTACATAATCACCTTTTTGGCAGTACTCTGAGCAGCTCACGTAGCTGATAAAGCAGTGAGAAAAGCTATTGGCATTTATACCTGCATTTTTGTGAGTCCAGGTGTCTGAAATACTGTGACCAAAACAGATTGCCTATTCATTGCATTTGAAAGGTACGCTTTTCAGTCTAGCTTAATTTTTCAAAACTGATCATTGATAATTTAAGATATTTTGCATTCATGGCACTAGCTTTTGAAGACCAGTGGCTTGTTAATTTCATATCAAGTATAGAAATTTTTATAGTTTAATTATCTTTAGTAGTGATAGGCATCAAAATAAAGAACGAAGAAATGTAGTTATAACATTGTCACCTTGAAATATCTTGTTAGTGGGATACATTTAATTGAGTACCTACTCTGAATATGTGCTTTAGTATATATGTTGCCCTGGTTTTATGTACAGATTGAATTTACAGACTAGCAGAATACCAGTGCTGCTTTTATAGAGCTTACTGCTATACACTCAAAGCTACGGGCTACATTTCTTCTG